CATTGGTGCCTTCCCCCACACCTTATACTAGCTTTTTAATTCATTGCATTGTACTTCGTAGGCTCTACCACTTGAACCATGCCTCCAATATTTTTGCTTTAGTTATTTTTGTCTTAAATTTTTATTTTTTCCTACTGTGACTAGACTCGAACCATGATCTTCCTGTCTATTCCTCTTGTATAGTGATGAACATAGGAATATGTCACCATGCCCAGCTTAATTCCTTGAAATGGAGGTTTCAATAACTTTTTGCCCAGGCTAAACATAATCCTCTGATTTCTGCCTCCTGAGTAGTTAGTTGCTACTACAGTTGTGAGCTACCATGCCTAGGAGATTCAAGTGGTAAGCAAAGCAAGTGACCAAGGAAAGTTTCTAACTACAAAAACTGTGTTGTCATTGTCCCGTGAAACTTCCTCAGGAGACTCAATTTGAGTCTCAGCCAGGAGCACACAACTGCCTGAAATTTTGCTCCAGTTCTTTGTTGTTGTTGTTGTTTGTGTGATTTTTTTTTCTCTTTCAAGAATAGCTTAGATTCTGTAGTCTACATGTCAAGGAGTGTGCCTGCTGCCCCCCATAGATCAGAAGCCTGTATCTAGAGCTTTGCAGACTCAGACCACATTTGAAATAACTTCAGAACTGTGGGGTTATTTAACTTGCTAAGTTTTCTGAGTTTCTTGGACCTGTTATTTGATGTCTTTCCCATTTTGGACAATCATCCCGTGGTGGTCCTGGTTCATCCGAGGTCCCAAGATGTTGCTCTCTCTCTGTCTCTCCTCCCGTGTTCCATGGCTGTGGTGGATAGACTGGTCCAGGACCTTAGCCAGCCACACCCCAACGGGCCTCTCCTCTAGCTACAGTGGGACCTCCCTGTGCTTCCTTCCCCCAGTGTCCTCCCTCCCTAAGCTAGAAGGAGGGAGGAGCAGCTGCCCTTGCAGAAAGTGCACTCTCCTTCCTGACAACATGCCACAAGCACAGTGGAGGTGTGCACCCATACTGTGCCTTTGGCATGGTCATCTCCCCTCCTCCGAAAGTCCCACTCCCGCCTTTCCTCTTCTGGAGCTGTTTGCAAGAAAGTGTCTCAGGCTGGTGAGTGGAGACTGCAGAGCTTGTACACCATCAAGAGTGGTGCTCCTCTGTTTCCTCCACCCTCAGTGAATGCTGGCTGTCCTGGGACCTGAACACATAAGAAAGAAAAACATTCTTGGAATTGTACTGCCAGCCCACATCTAAATCAGAACCACTAGGGAAAAACTTACTCGGTTTGCTTTATTTTTTTAAATTTAGAAAGGTTGTATTTTAGTAAAACAAGATTCAAGTAGGGAGAAATGGAGAACAGTGCAACATCATTGCTCTCCATGCAGGAACGAGAGTGTAAGGCTCCCAGTTTGCGTTTAGCAGACTGGACTCTTCCCTGCAGTGTAAGTGCTCAGTGGTCAGTCGCTTTCACCCATCTGTTTTCTTACACTTATTAGACAGTGCATCTGGGAACAGCAGAAAAGGCACCTGATTTTCATGACATTTATTGTTCCAGGTAAAACATTAACTTGGACCACATTCACTTTCTGCTTCTACCAGAGCTGGAGATGATGTCCAGTGCTTGAAAATTCATGTTTCATGTACTCCTCAGTTTCCTAAAATAGAGATTTGAGTCATCTCTAGGCCCTGGTCTCGGCTGTCCCAGCAAAGGAGGGGGGGAGAGGATAGCTAATTTTAGTTGTTTTTCCAAAGTGCTGCACTGATCTATTCCTCCTGGCAGTTTCTCCCTGGTGTGTGTGTGTGTGTGTGTGTGTGTGTGTGTGTGTGTGTGTGTACTTTTCAAACTGAGATTCTATTCTCACACTCACTTGCTTACTCTTTCACACACTTGTTTCCTCTCACACTTACCTTTACACACACTCACATTCCCATCTAGTTCTGTCACATTTCATCTCTCTCTGTCATACATGGTACCTCACACATTTACCCTCACATGTTCGTTCTCAAATGTGCTTGCTCTCCATACTCCTACTTGTTTGTCTTTCTCTCCCACTAGCTTGCTCATCTTCACACACTCTAGACTTCTGTGCTTAGCAGCCCTCTCCTGGTCTCATTGTCTGGAACTCGGGGACCCTTTGCCTGGGTCTCTTTTTTGCACTCAAGTCTCTCTTCGGAGCCCAGCTGGCTCTGACCTCCCACAGTCTCATGTCTGCCTTCTTAACAGTTTGCTTCTCTGAACCTTAGCAGCATGTAGGAGTGTTTCAACCATTTTCATGAGGCTCATGTGGAAACAGCAGCAGTGCATATTGTCTGTAAACTAATACCCAGACTGAGAGACAAGTTCAAAAAGCACGTTGGGGTTAGAGCTGTTCCATGTAGAGAGATGTTAGGGCGAGGGGTTAGGGGAAAAGGTACATCAGAGACAGGGCCTGGCTTAAGGCAAAGATGGCCCTTGAAAACGAGGCTACCCCCAATGTGGACTGAGCAGGAAAGAGGATTTCATTTTGGCCTGTTAACTAGCTGTGAAGTCAAAAAGTTCCAGGTGAAATCATTTCCTCCAGGTCTGAGTTTTCTTATTTGTAAAATTCAGAGATAGTTATTTTGGTTCTGTATCTAATTCTAAACTTCATTACCAACTTTTTTTTTTTTTTTGGGTCCGGTCCTGGGGCCTGGGCGCTGTCCCTCAGCTCTTCATCTCAAGGCTAGCTAGTGCTCTACCACTTGAGCCACAGCGCCACTTCTGGCTTTTTTCTTTTTGCTTATGTGGTGCTGCGGAATTGAACCCAGAGCCTCATGCATGCAAGGCAAGCGCTCTACCACTGAGCCACCTTCCCAGCCCCTTGACTACCAACTTTTAAAGCCAGTTTTAAATGTAATATTAAAAAATAATATCCGTTTGCTTCTTTTTTTTTTAACATACTCCAATAAGCCTTTGTGTTCTTGCATAATGCTATCATGCTTTTTTTCTTTTTTGCTGAAAATGGAAACTTTCCTGTATTGTCAATGCCTTTTATCTTTGATTTTGATGATGGAAAGATATCTTTCAGATTTCTAGTCTTACGCTTTTTTCTTGTTGTTCATAAGACAGCGTTATTGCTACCTTTTGTGGATGCTTTGCAGCTAATCTTTGCACAGTTTTTATCATTTAAAATACAACAGCAGATTTAATTCAGTTCTGTTATCAGGCTTTTAAAATTTTCATGCAGGGGCTGGGAAGGTGGCTCAGTGGTAGAGTGCTTGCAAGGCAAGCACGATGCCGTGGGTTTGATTCCTCAGCACCACATAAACAGAAAAAGCTGGAAGTGGTGCTGTGGCTCAAGTGGCTGAAGACCTGAGGGTTAGTGCTCAAGCCAAGTTCAAGCCCCACCACCGACCAAAATAATAAATAAAGTCTTGACGCAACAGCAGGCTTCACCTAGCTGATGAAAATCAGCAAAGTGTTGGTTGGAGCAAGGGTTGAAACAAGGTCTCATAGTGTAGTCCAGGCTAATCTCAACCCTCACATTCTTCTTGCTCTAGCCTTTGGGAGTTGGGATTATAGGTGTGTCTCACATGCCAAACAAAGCATATTTTTTTTTAAAGCAAAACGAAGTAGAGGCCATCTAGGATACATTTTACAGTGATTTTAAAATTCAATTCAGTTTTATTTGTCTTAGGAGACAGAGTGCCAGCTTGTTTAATTCAGTGTCACACTCAGCTGAGGTTGCTCTGAATGCCTGGCTCAGCTGTTCTCCTGTGTCAGCTCTCCAGAAGCTGGGACTATCATTACACAGCACCATGACAGCTGCGATTTATTTATTCATTTATTTTTGTCTGTTGTAGGGCTTGAATTTAGGGCCTGGGTACGGTCCTTGAGCCTTTTTGTTCAAGGCTAGTGCCCTACCACTTTGAGTCACAGGGCCACTTCCTGTTTCCTCGTGGTTAATTGGAGATGAGTCTCTTGGACTTTCCTGCATGGGCTGGCCTGGTTTTGAACCACAATCCTTAGATCTCAGCCTCGTGATTAGCTAGGATTACCAGTGTGAGGCACCAGTTCCCAGCTTGTGATAATTTTTGTATGACACATTTATGCAGTTTTCTAATCCGAGTGCTACTAACAAATAGCAATGCATCCGGAGAAAAAGCTGATGATGGATCAGTGTAATTAAAGAGACAGTTCTTCTATTCTGGGCTACAGTTTTGATCAGATAAGCAGGATGTTGAAAACGGGTAATGGGAATGGCTTTCGTTGTTGTGTGTGTGTGTGTATAATGATATGTAGTATGCAGTTTTAGGAATCAGAACCCAGAAAAGATTCCTTGGTTGTTCTCCTTCATGCACTTAATACATGTGTTTTCTTTGACAACTTAGAATTGGCCATTTGGTTTTTAGTTTATTCACGTGATACTTAGGTATCCTGGTGTTCTTTTTTTTTGTAGGTCGTGAGTATTGAACTCTGAGATTGGGTGCTGTCCCTCATCTCTTCGGCTCAAGGCAAGTGCTCTACCACTTGAGCCACTGCACCACTTCCGGTTTTCTAGTGGTTTATTGGAGATAAGAGTCTCACAGACTTTCCTGCCTGGGCTTGCTTTGAACCGTGATCCTCATATCTCAGCCTCCTGAGTAGCTAGGATTACAGGCCTTAGCCACCAGCGCCTGGCTCCTGGTGTTCTTATAAGATCAGAGTAATTAGCCGGGTGCTCGTGGCTCATGCCTATAATCTTAGCTACTCTGGAGGCCAGCCCGGGCAGGAAAGTCCGTGAGACTCTTATGTCCAGTAAACCACCAGAAAACTGGAAGTGGTGCTGTTGCTCAAGTGGTAGAGTACTCGCCTTGAGCCGAAGAGCTGAGGGACAGCGCCCAGGCTCAGAGTTCAAGCTCCAGGACTGGCAAAAAAGAAAGAAAGAAAGAAAGAAAGAAAGAAAGAAAGAAAGAAAGAAAGAAAGAAAGAAAGAAAGAAAGAAAGAAAAAGAAACCTGTATGCATTTGATATGAAACTGGAAACTGTATGGACCCCTAATATCATTGTTCTTTTTTTAAAACAGCTTTTAGAGATTAACTGGACAGGACTGACTAATCTTCTGGACATCCCTGGATTGAAGTGAGTTTGTTCAGAACCCACCATTGGCTTATTGATAATGTCTTTTGTATTGTCACAGACATACCATAAAAATGGCTAACACTATTGTCTGGCATGTAGAATTGGTGCCTCTTCGTAGGCTTTCATCAGAAATGACCAGAGTGTAGTTGAGTTTTGTTCACTCAGCCGTGCCTATCTAAAGCAATCCTGATTAAAGTAGGATGACTCCAGGAGAATCATAGAGCCACTCCTCGTGTACCTTTTCTCTAGGGCATGTCTCCAGTGGTGGCACTTTAGAGAGTAGCTGTCCCTTCCCTTGCCTTTTCTCACCTTTACCTCTGTCTCAGTGAGCAGGACCTCAGGGTGACGTTTCTGTATGGTATACTGGGAGTCCCTTCCTTCCTCTGTAATGATTTAATATCTGAAAGTGCGTGAGGCATGGAGGTTCCGCCCCTGGGAGGGAGTGGGATTGGGCTGTTGCTGAGTCCCAGTATTCGTCTGAAATGGAGGGTGGAAACTTGGAAAGCTCCAAGTTTGGGTTACACCCTTCTAAACTTGGTTTTGCTCCTTTTGCTATTTTATTCGAAGTTTAAAACACGTTACTTGTTAAGGGTGCAAGTCTTTCAGAAATTTGAGGCAGTCTTGTTCAAAAGTCAGTTGTAGGTGCTATGGGTTGCTGGATTAGGAAACTTACCATCTTTCATAGAGCTATAGAAGGAACATAGTTAAAATATTCAATTTATCATCTGACTCAACTGGTCTTAAAAATGGAGAGAGCATGAGTGAGAGAGAAGAGAAAGAGGGAGCAAGTACGCTACCTCTGAGTTACATCAGTAGCCGTTTCAATCCAGACTATTTTTTAAGGCAGATTGTATATCTACTTTGAACCAGCCACTGCTCTCAATTTGGTTGTAACTAAACAGCAGTCCCACAACTGTTCTTACGGAGCTTAGCCTGCTGCTGGCCTCAAAGACTTGTACAATGAGGAGGGCACCTGGCACAGGAAGGGTTAATACAGACTGATGCTGTGGGCATAGCTCTTGTCTCAGGCAGGTAAGTCCAAAGTAAACTTTCACCCAGCATGCACCTGCCAAATTTTCCTCAGCCTACCTAGGACAGATTCCTGAAGATGAGGTTTGGCTCTCATGTATACCTTTAGAGGAGGAAAGAGAACAGGTTAGTTGTTTGAAAATAAACCACTGAATGGAGGTATCCCCCAAAGAAAGAGCCTTCACAGGAAATAAGGGGACTGGGTATTGTTTGCCAGGTTAAAAAACAAACAAGCAACAGATACCTACATGATGAATGTTTCACTGTGTGCACTTTGTCTCTGATTGGCGGGAAACCGAAATAACACATACTATGGAGCTTCTGCTCTGTAAAATAACACCATATTAGCTGTCCAAAAGCTTGACATCAGACCAGGTAAATGATGTGCCCCTCCTCTGGCAAGACTAGTCAGTCCCAAACCAGTTTCTTTTTTTTTTTGGTCGGCCATGGGGCTTGAACTCTGGGCCTGGGCGCTGTCCCTCAGCTCTTCAGCTCAAGGCGAGCGCTCTACCACTTGAGCTATAGCGCCACTTCCGGTTTTCTGGTGGTTTATTGGAGATAGGAGTCTCACGGTCTCTCCTGCCCGGGCTGGCTTTGAACCGCGATCCTCAGATCTCAGCCTCCTGAGTAGCTAGGATTACAGGCGTGAGCCACCAGTGCCCGGCCCAAACCAGTTTCTTTACAAGGGATCTACACACAGACACAATAGATAAGCACTAAGTACACACATGCATATGCATACATATCTAGCTTCTCTTTAATAATGTATATGTAGATAGTCTCGTTTTACATAGTAGTAGCTTCGACTATTTATATTTATCTGTGTAGTACAGGTATTCCTGTACACTCACTCTCTGTAGAATTACATAATTAAAAATTTACATGCACGTGTATATCACATATATAGAAAGATTAATATACATCATGAGAATAGCTGGGAGCTGTGGCTTACATCTAAAACCCTCTTTTTTTCCTGTCAGACCTGGGACTTGAACTCAGGGCCTCAGCACTGTGCCTGAGCTGTTTTTTTCCTCAAGGCTAGCACTCTACCACATGAGCCACAGCGCTACTACCGGCTTTTTCTGTGTATGTGGTGCTGAGGAATGGAACCCAGGGCTTCATGCATGCTAGGCAGGCGCTCTACCACTGAGCCACCTTCCCAGCCCACATCTATAATCCTAACAACTCAGGAGGCTGAGATCTGAGGCTTATGGTTTAGAACCGTCCAGGCAGACAAATCCAAGAGACTTATCTCCAAATAACCAGCAAAAAGCTGGAAGTGGATATGAGGCTCAAGTGGTAGTGCCAGCCCTGAACAACACAGTGAGTCTGAAAGACCCTGAGTTAGAAAAGAAAAAAACAGGTACTCTACAGTATAAAATTTAAAAATGAGATATATATTTAATATACTATATAATTTACATTCAGTTATGTAAATTTTATATAATATATAAATATCATAAACCTACATAATAAAATATAAAATTGGGGCCACTAGCTCTTGCAGACTTTGTGTCAAGTTAGAGGTGTAAGCTGGCCACTAGTGACTCACGTCTATAATCTTAGCTACTCAGGAAGCCAAAGTCAGGAAGACTGTTTTAAGGCCTGTAAGCAGAAAAGTTCACTAGATTCCATCTTCAAAACACCTAAGAAAAAGCAGGACTGGAGGCACGGCTCTCACAAGTACAAAGCTGGAGTTCAGATCCCACTTGCATTACCACCATCACTGACTCTCCCCAGATTCGAGCTATAACAAGTCTTATGTTGTACCCAAAAGAGGTAAATAATAGTTGAGGTTAGTTACAATGGAGCCTCGCTCCAGCTTCACAAAAAGGTGTCCATAGGCTGAGTTAATTGACTACAAAAAGGAGCCTGAAATAAAATAGGGTTAATGCCTGAATCTCTTGTCTTTTGTTGTTGTCATGTTTTTATGCTTGGCTTTCTCAGTCATGGCTGCCCTCTGGCACTTGAGTCTCACATCCAATGCTGACTTTTTTGCTGGATGATGGGAGATAAAAGTATTGAAGATTTGTCTGCACAGCTTGTCTTTTACTCTCAATCTTCAGATTTCAGCTTCTTTAAGTAGCTAGTGGCTCCACTGCCTGGCTTTGTTATTGTTTTGCTTATTAGTTTTTATTGACATATATTGCTCAAGATTAATTGTACTGACAAACTGACATGTTGAATTGAAACTCCTTTGTACAACTACTTGAAAATAATAAATATTATATAAAGTAAGATGTTTCACTGTGATACTTCCATAAATGTATACGGTGTAATCATTCACTCTGTCATTCTTTCTTTCCTCTAACCCTTCTCCTCCCTCATCTACCCCTCCAGAAATCCCTCTTTAGTGATATTTGTTGTGTTTATTTTTATGTATGTGTGTATATGTGAATATTTATGGATGTGTGTATGTATGTACTTGTATGTGCGTGTGTATTTATGTGTATGTAGGTGTGTATGGGTATATATGTTTGTGTGTATGTGTGTATTTATGCGGGTATGCATGTGTGTATGTATCTCTGTGTATTTGTTGGTACTAGGACTTGAACTCAGGACCTCCCTAAGCTTTTATGTTCAAGGCTGGCACTCTGCCACTTGAGCTACTGGATTTTGGTGGTTAAATGGAGATAAGAATCTCACTGACTTTTCTGCCTGGGCTGGCTTCTAACTTTGGTTCTCAGATTTCAGCCACCTGTGCCTGGCTGTTTTTGTTTTTATTTAAAAGTTTTTTCTTCTAAATTCTTCAAATGAAAGAAAAAAAATGAATATTGCTTTTGTGGGACCGGCTTGATTTCGTTTAGCATGATGCTTGGCTGTTCTCCTGAATGTCCCAGTTGTGTCTCAGTGAAGAACTTCAGGCAGCCTGGGAAAGGTGGAAGAGGGCGGGGGCTGGGGCATGCACAGGAGTGGGGCTAAGGAGGGATTTGGGAATCGTGGCTTTAAGAGGTCACTGCTGTGTGGGTGCTGCCTGGGGTAGGAGCAGCGCCCACAGTGGATGCTTCAGAATGCTCTGAGATTTGGGAGTGGGCATTTGCCACATTTGAACTGGGTTTCTAAGCCAGCAGGCACAAGGTGGGTGCTGCAAAGGGTGCTTCAGTTTAGCACATTTCTCCATATAAACAAAACCACTGTTTTGGAGAGAAATGCCCAGGATAAGAATACATCTGGTGTGGGGCCGTGCAGAGCTTGCACAAGCCCTCAGCATCTCCCTAGAGGATCAGTAGCCAGGGCCATTTGCTCATAGTAGAGCAGTTCCATGTGCCTTTAGCACTTAGGGTTTTTAAAATCTTTTTTCCTGTTAAACTGAAAAGCCTGTAAAGTAAATTCTGTATCTTGTCATAACACCTGGATCCCTGTCTTGCTCAGGTAATACTTGCTGAATGGTGATGCTGATAATTATTGTCTCACTAGATGTATTTAACTGTATAATTACATATCTGTGCTAATGATTTGATCTGGCAAGAACTGTGATCCTTCAAAACTTTACAGTTCTGGAAAATACGTTCCTTAGCAATATCTTTACATTTATATGCTTTCACAAGTATGGCCAGACACTTAAAGGGTAGGCAAGCCAGGTGCCAGTGCCTCGCACCTCGAATCCTAACTACTCAGAAGGCTGAGAACTAAGGCTCACGGTTCAAAGCCAGTCAGGGTAGGAAAGTCCCTGTAAGACTCTTATCTCCTATAAACCACTCAAAAAACTAACAAAAACCAGAAGTAGAGCTGTACCTCTTAAGTGGTAGAGCTGAAGAGCTCAGGGACAGTGCCTAGAGTTCAAGCCCCACGACCACCACCATCACCACCACCAACAAAAATAGAACAGTGAAACCTGCTAAAATTGGTCTAGGATGGGAAAAAGGAGGCAGAGACCAATAGAGGGGATAAGATTGATAGGAATATATTGTAAATATGTGAATGTCATGGTGAAATCTCTGTAACTAATATATGCTAATAAGAAAGAGTAGGCAAAAGATACATTCAAATATATTCTTTTGCAAAATTCACTGGGATATGATAAATTACACAGAACTCTAGACACACAGTGAAACCAAAAGAGGGTACTCTTAGGAGAGAAACAAAGGAGCAATGCCTGCCTATGTGCCTCTTCATAGTTACATAAAGTAATACACACACTGAAAGGAACTCCAGGATATGGAAACAAGAGACTTCTCTTTTTTCTCCCCTCCACTTTTAGTTTGTGATATTCTGTTTTCTTTATCTTAAGTATGGTATATTCAAAAATACATCTTTAGGAGGGTTGAAGGGAAGATACAGAACTCGAGGGAAAGGGTGAGAAGGTGCAGGAGTGCAGCTCACTGGACATGGGTGAAAGTGACCTATACAACTCGGGTGGAGACAGGAGGCAGAGACTGGGAGAGACTCATCCGGGACGGGAGGCCGAGGCCGGGGGAGTGAGGGGCACAAGAGGAAATGCACCCATTGCCTGACTCATGTAAATGTAATCCTTCCATACATCACCTCTATAATAACAATAGTGTAAACTTATAAATCTTTTGCACTATATAATAGGCTAGAGTTTGCTCTATAGTGCAATATAATAGACTTAAGTATTAAAATATTCAGTATAAAAGAGTGTGAATAAACAATTCTTTTGCTTCATCAGAAGCTAGTATACAGTAGTAGGAAATGTAATATGTGTAAGAAGCATAGGCCAATCAATGTTTGCTGTTACTCTTTTGTGTATGAAGTATTTCAAGTTGAAAATTAATGAAATGTATCTTACTCAACATCAAGTCTATAATGAAGTTACACAGAAATGTATAAAAGATTTTTTAGGAAATTGCAACATAGTGGGAATTTTACCTATTCTGAAGATAAATTCTACCTCGTAGTTATCATAGCAGTTTCCCAGCTGAAGTGTCTTACCTGTCAATAGATACTGCATCATATTGTGGCTTTGCTGATTGTTTGTTAAAGGTGATATGTCTGATTGTTTGTTCTTTACCTTCAAACTAACAGTGGTTTATCCGACACTATCATTCTGGATATAATATCGAACTACCTGGTGCTTCCCAATAGAATCACTGTTCCTCTTGTCAGTGAAGTGCAGATAGCTCAGTTGCGGTTTCCTATACCAAAGGTAAGCATGCTATAGCATCTATAACACTAAAAATACCTTAAGGACTTGTGCAGACATGGGTTATCTGGGGTGGTGTAATTCCCCAGGTCTGTCTGAAGGTCTGCATTGCAACCTTTGTCCTGCTGCAGTGGTGACTGTCCTGCTCTCCACCCTCTGCTGAACAGGTGTGCCTGTGACTCAGAGATCTCAAGGGGCTCATGAGCCTCAGTTGAGCTCCTTAGAGGTTCTGCAAACACTACTGTAAATCATAATGACAGCTAGGAGCATCTTGACAGCCTCAGTCATTTCAGAGGGTATGTGCTTTGTTTGTCCTTTCTGGGATTGTAATTGCTCCTAGCAACATGAGAGATGAGGAAGATTGTGATATGATGGCTTGCATAGGTGTCTCTCGGACATTGAAATGTGATTACTGCTGGTGTCAGTGTGTAAGGTGGCAGCAGAGGCACTTGGATAGCAGCTGCCTGTGCAGAGTGGAACAGCAGAACTGGAACTTGGTGGAACTTTGTGGACATGTGACAGAGCATGACTAGCGTCAAAGTTGTTTTTTTGTTTGTTTGCTTTTTGGTGCCAGATCTGGGCTTGATATCTGGGCCAGAGTGCTGCCCGTGAGTTTTTATGCTCAAGGCTAGCACTCTACCACTTGAGCCACAGCTTTATTTCTGACTTTTTTGGTAGTTAATCAAAGATAAGAGTCTCACAAGCATTCCTGCTAGGCTGGCTTTGAATTGCAATCCTCAGATCTCAGCCTCATAAGTAGTTAGGATTACAGGTGTGAGCTACCCTTCCCCAGCTTAGCATCAACTTTTATCTGTAAAATGATAACTGTACTTGGTACACAGCTGGATCACAGACATACAATCACCTTCAGTTGAGCAAACTGAAGTCTCACAAAGTGGTGAGGCTTGGTAGACAGGAAGTTCTGGTCATGAGGGATAGTGGAGTAAGTGATTTTCACAAACCAGAGTGTCAGACACCAGATATGAGTCTGCATTATTTATATATATATGCATGTATTATTATATGTATGCGTTATTTTCAATAAGGAGTACTACTGGTGCACACTAGGTTGTTTTATACTCACATAAGGAGTAAGTTGATGCTGTTTCAAGTGTGTGTGTGTTTTTGATAGAGAGAGAGAGACTGACGAACTCAGGGTCTCAAGCCCTCACTTAGCTTTTTTGCTTGGAGATAGTAATCTACCATTTGAGCTACACCTCCTTTGTTTCAGTTTTTGTTTCCTGAAGTAGAGATGTTTCCCTGATGCTTTTTACTTTTCCTGGCTAAATTAGATCTCAACAATAGTACATAAATCATCAAACATGCATGAACACACACAGTAGATTTAATGTGACACTACATATTAGAATGTCTTTTTCTTTAACGTTAGATGCAGCAATCTTTCTTGACATATTTCTTTACTGTATGGACCTTTTTTCTCTGAGTGCAGTGAGCATTGAACCTTCCAGGTTCCAGCTGCCCTCTATCCCAAGGCTTAAAAGTTAATATTATACAAAGATGTTGCCAGATCATTTAACCTTTTGTCATATGAAAATATAAAGGAGAAATTTTCAATGTTTTTTAAGGGTGCTCATTCACAGAGAAGCTTATCTTGTGCTGATTGAGAGGAATGTCACTCTGTAACCTTTTAAGAGTTGGGAGAAAATGGGACAAGACATCCTACTTTACCATCCAAACTTTACCACCTTTGTTTGCTTTGAAAGAAATATGAAGCTGGGCACAAGTGGCCCACACCTGTAATCCTAGCTACTCAGGAGGCTGAGATCTGAGGACTGAGGTTTAAAGCCCGCCAGGGCAGAAAAGTCCGTGAGACACTTATCTCCAGTAAACCACCAGAAAACTGGAAGTGGCGCTGTGGCACAAGTGGTAAAGTGCTAGCGTTGAGCTGAAGAGTTGAGGGACAGTGCCCAGGCCCAGAGTTCAAGCCCCATCATCAAACAAAAAAAGAAAGAAAGAAAGAAATATGAGTGGACTTTGTCAGCCGTTTTAGAGAAAAGACTATTTAAAGTCTACATGTAATACATACTTCAGAAGTTTAATGACAGTATTTCATAGGACTTCTCAAAGCATTGAGTGGTGTGGTTACTGCCTATGAAGTACTTAGGAACAGGTCTGGTGCACCTTCATGCCTGTTATTACTTAGAACTAGAGTGTCGAGTCACGCGGTGAGCACATGGCTCTGTGTCTTCGGTTTCCCTGGGGTTACACTCACTGCCATGCTAGGACCTCTGTAGTCAGTGTTCCTGACACCCCAGTTCTTCCAACTGGGTCAGATCCATAGCTGTCAACCAATCTCTTAAATGAACCACAAATGCTTTGTTCTTCTTTTCAGGGTGTTCTAAGGATACATTTTATTGAAGCTCAGGATCTTCAAGGGAAAGATACTTACCTTAAGGGTCTCGTCAAAGGAAAGTCAGACCCCTATGGGATCCTCCGAGTGGGAAACCAGATCTTCCAGAGCAAGGTCATCAAGGAGAACCTGAGTCCCAAATGGAACGAGGTATATGAGGTAAGGGATTTGTCCTGCTGGGTTCCTTGCTGTGGTGCACTTGACACTGAGTTGGTGCATGGCCACTTTTCATTCCAGACTTCACATAGCAGTGTGGCTAATGTAAACCATTGCTTAAATTTTCTTTGTTTTAATTTCCCATCTTTAAAAGAGTATTTTCTCTTCCTCATAACAAACAAGAATGTTATGAGGAACATTTTTAGAGCTTAATTATATAGTGTTTTATATATACATATATACAATAAATAATTGGCAAAATATTCTCATGTATTTTTCTAATCATCAAATGCTACACGTGGTTAATAACACATATAAACACAAAGGTGAGATTCTTCTGTTGTATGAACCTTTCACTTAACACATGCAGGCATGTATTAAACACGTATTTACACGCCAATGAACAGAGACCCCCTTGAGTTAAATGTCTTACTGTGTAGGCCAGACTGCCTTGAATTTACAATTTTTCTGCTTCAGTCTTCCAAGTATTAGAATTAACACGTGTGGGCAGTACACTGAGCTGAACTGTATGTGATTTTTATTAACAACCATTCTTTTGAATGGTTGTTAATACCATCATTTACTCGTACTTGTCAGTGCAATATTATCAGCACACGTGTAATGTGAATGTTTTCCACATGTGAAGCTCCTCAACGTGAATTGCTGGATCAAAAGGTACAGGTTTTTAAAGGACAGGATTCTTCAAAACAATCATGGAATTTATGCTACTCCTGCTTCCTGACTCCCTGCCCTTGTCAACCTGTGACTTTCTCATTTTCTTTTTCTCTGAGTGGTAACTGGGCAGTGGTTATTCTGAATGGAATTACTTCAGGGGTGCTGTATCCTGCATCTTTTCTCTGTCCTGGGCCTTGTACAGGGTATGGGTGATGTTGTATTTGACCCAACAAGATGTAATGCACATAACCAGAAACAAGCACAGTGAGATGTTGCTTTGTGGGCAAGTATTTTAGAATGGCTCAGACATCAGGAAGATGTGTGGTCTGACAATAAGAACAGCTTACTGCTAAAGTACATAGTCATATTTATTATAATCATCATAGCAGTAGATGACGGCTTTAGGGAGGCGGCAGTAACTCCTAACCATTCATTTTTCAGGCTTTAGTCTATGAACACCCTGGACAAGAATTGGAGATTGAACTCTTTGATGAAGACCCGGACAAAGATGACTTCTTAGGAAGGTGACGGGAAGTGTGGGAACTCTGCTATCACTGTTACAGATAGGAGCTTTTAATACATTTTAAAGTTGTTTTTAAATGTAATGTTTCACCTTCTGTTTCTCTCTTTCTTCTTCTTTCCTTCCTTCTCTTGTCTCCATCCTCCTCTCGTCTCCGTCCTCCTCTCCTCTCTTCTCCTCTCCCCTCCTCTCCCCTCCTCTCCCCTCCCCTCTCCCTCCCCCCCCCTTCTCTTCTTTTCTTTTTTGTTAGTCATGGGGCCTGAACTCTGGGCCTGGGCGCTGTCCCTCAGCTCTTTAGCTCAAGGCTAGAGCTCTACCACTTGAGCCACAGCTCCTACTTCCAGCTTTTTCTGCTTATGTGGTGCTGAGGAATCGAACCCAGGACCTCATGCATGTGAGGCAAGCACTCTACCACTGAGCCACCTTCCCAACCCTCTTTTCTTTCTTTTTTCTTTTTCTTTTCTTTTCTTTTCCTGTCCTGGGTCTTGAACTCAGGGCTTTGGCATTCTCTCTGAGCTTCTTTTTGCTCAAGGCTAGTGCTCTACCACTGGAGCCACAGTGCCACTCCCAGCTTTTCCCAAGTAGTTTATTGGAGATAGGAGTCTCACAGACTTTTCTGTCTGGGTTAGCTTCAGATCACGATCCTCAGATATCAGCCCTCTTGTGTAGCTAGGATTATAGGCAAGAGCCAGTAGTGTCCAGATTCATCTTCTGTTCTTCAAGTATTATTATTTCTTCTTCTTCTTTTTTTTTGGGGGGGGTCCAGTCGTGGGCCTGAACTCTGGGCCTGGGCACTGTCCCTCAGCTCTTCAGCTCAAGCTAGCGCTCTGCCACTTGAGCCACAGCGCCACTTCCGGCTTTTTTCTTTTTGCTTATGTGGTGCTGAGGAATCGAACCCAGGGCCTCAAGCTTGCAAGGCAAGCGCTCTACCACTGAGCCACCTTCCCAGCCCACTAAGTATTATTATTTCTAAAAGGGTCCTGCTGTGTGTTGCAGTAACAGCTAGCCCTAGGACCTAGGACCCCTTGAGTCAGGGTTAAACACATGAGAGGTCCAGAGGCTACACTCAGAGATGCCTATGTGCAGGTGCCTACAGGGGTGCTTTGTCCTAGTTTGTAAAAGTAGCTTTTTTTAGTTTGGCCTATACATTGTGATAATAAATATCAATTTATTTTGTTTCAATTGAATGACTAATAGCTGAAAAAAAGTGAGCTAAAAAAAAATTCTAGGGCCAGTTTGTTGGATATAGGCCTGTGCCCATAGTACTAGCTACTCTGAAAACAGGAGTAGGAGAGTTTGCAGTGCTGAGCCCAGCTGAGACAAAAGCACCAGACCCAAGCTACAAGCAAAGGGCTGGGATGTGTCTCCAATGATAGAGTGCTTGTCTAGCAATGAGGTCTTGAATTCAAAGTCTCACCAAAAAATTATTTTTCTATCTGATCTTTTTTCTCCCCTGGTATTAGGGTTGAAGTCAGGGTCTTAATCTCACGCATAACTTCATTCAAGGCTAGCATTCCACTACTTGAGCCACAATCCTGCTCCTGATTTTTTACTTGTTTATTGGAGATGAACGTCTTACAGATTTTTCTGCCCAAACTGGCTTTGAAGTGTAATTCTCAGATATTAGCCTCCTCCTAAGTAGCTAGGATTACTGGTGTGAGCCACCAGTAACAGTTCTTCTAATCTATATCATTTAACCTAGTTATTGTGTGTGTGGAGGGAACATGGCACCAGTGGCTCATGCCTATAATTCTAGGTATTCAGGAGTCTGTCTGAGGATCAGGGTTCAAGGTTCAGAACGAGTACTCAAGAGTCTATCTTTAGTTAGCTAGCAAAAAGCTGGAATTGAAGATGTGTGGCTAAAGAGGTAGAGTGCCAGCCATGAGCAAAGGCCCTGAGTTCAAAACCTGAGTTAAAACCCCAGTGCTGGCACGCATGCGCATGTTCGCGTACGTACGTGTACACACACACACACACACACACACACACACACACACACACACACACACACACACACACACACACACACACACACACACACGGAGATATAGGAGTGGGTGACATTGCTGAGGTTTGTGCTTTTTCTGAAGTAATCTTGTATGTTATACCTGATTTGAAACTATCTAAGATTTTATGTGTTGTGTTCTGACTTGGGTGTCTGTGGCTGCAAAAGAAAACTGAAGTAAAAGCAACTTCAAGAGGAATGTTGTGAGATCAAATGTGTTCTGGTAAACTTAGTGTGTAGACTGGAGGCTAACAGATCAACCAGGGCTACGAAATGAGGGTTTACACTAAGACCTAGACTGCAGGGGCAGAGGGAAGGGTGTGTAAAGAGGAAGTGCAAGTACAATCATCTTAGTCATTCTCACTCCTGTGAACCGGAGAAAGGTTTTGGAAATAGAGCAGGGTTCTTTTTGTTTTTTATTTTTTGTCGGTCGTGGGGCTTGAACTCCGGGCCTGGGCGCTGTCCCTCAGCTCTTCAGCTCAAGGCGAGCACTCTACCATTTGAGCTACAGCGCCACTTCCGGTTTTCTGGTGGTTTAATGGAGATAGGAGTCTCACGATCTTTCCTGCCTGGGCTGGCTTTGAACCGCGATCCTCAGATCTCAGCCTCCTGAGTAGCTAGTATTACAGGCGTGAGCCACCAGCGCCCGGCAGCAGGGTTCTTTTTGGAAACTGAGCCCCAAAGGCCTCTGTAGGACTGGATACTCTGTGTGTCTAGAGTCTGCAAGCGCAGGTGGAAGGTCCGAGTTACAATTCAGTACGAGAGCAACTGCTCCATGGGGATTGGGGATCAGGAATGGAGCAGCACCAGCGGAGAATTTGTAATGTAAGAGAGTTGAGCTTTTTTTTTTTTTTTTGTAGTCATAGGCCTTGAACTCTGGGCTTGGACACTGCCCTGTGCTTTTCAGCTCAAGGCTAGTGCTCTACCACTTGAACCACAGCACCATTTCTGGTTTTCTGGAGGTCTATTGGAGATAGTCTCACGGGGGGCTGGGAAGGTGACTCAGTGGTAGAGTGCTTGCCTTGCATGCATGAGGCCCTGGGTTCGATTTCCTCAGCACCACATAAGCAAAAAAAGAAAGAAAAAAAAAGGAGATAGTCTCAAAGAGTTTCCTGCCTGGGCTGGCTTTGTAACTGTGATCCTCAGATCTCAGCCTTATGTGTAGCTAGGATGACAGGCATGAGCCACCAGCACCTAGCCAAGAGTGCCCAGCGAGTTGAGATATTTTTAAATATTTTCAGTGCATACTACATTGTAGAAAGACTAGGGTTTAAAAAAAAACATTATTTATTTGTTTATTTTTGTAGGTCATGGGGTTTGAACTCTGGGCCTGAGCACTGTCCCTCAGCTCTTCAGCTCAAGGCTAGCACTCTACCACTTGAGCTACAGTGCCACTTCTGGTTTTCTGGTGGTTTATTGGAGATGAGTTTCATGAACTTTCCTGCCTGGGCTGGCTTTGAACTGTGATCCTCAGATCTCAGCCTCCTGAGTAGCTAGGATGACAGGCATGAGCCACCCAGCACCTGGCTTTTTTTTTTTTTTTTTTTTGGTCATGGGCTTGAACTCTGGGCCTAGGCGCTGTCCCTCAGCTCTTCAGTTCAAGGCGAGCGCTCTACCATTTGAGCCACAGCACCACTTCCATGATTTTTTATTTTTTATGGCTCTGATTTCAGCTGAGCCAAACTTGGAATTCTGACTTTTAGAAACTAAATCTTAGTCGTGTCCTCACTTCTCTGGACGTTGTTAGGAATATGCTGGGTAAACCTTAGGGAATGCAGCCTGTTTCCTAGCAAACTCTAGCACTTGGTTGCATTTCTGGAGTACCTTTTCAATGCGCATGTTTGAGGTCATTTTAGTCACAAAGTGTGGGTGTTCTATAGGTGTTTTCCTGTATTTTGTTTTTCCTACAGTCTCATGATTGATCTCATTGAAGTGGAGAAGGAGCGCCTTTTAGACGAAGTAAGTTTTCTGCAGTGAAATAAGCATTGCCTCCTGTGTGTGGCCCCAGAAGGGCTGCGGCTCACTTTCCTACTCAGCCAGTGTGGGGAAGCTGGACAAGAGACATGTGCTTCACAGATACAGAGAATCCAGCAGGCCTGTGCTAGGGTGGGTTCAGGGGTAGAATGCTTGTCCAGCATGCACCTGATAAGCACTGAACATGCATATAAGCACATACATGCGCATTCATACATACACACAGAACGTAGGCCTTTAACAACAAAGTAAAAATGAAGTTAACAGTCATATGAGATGGAATGCCTAGAATACTTAGTATGTGCTAGAAATTCTTATAGAATACACAACTGTTTATTGCAGACAGACCTTGATGCCAAGGCAGGCATTAGGGCAAAGATGTAGGTGAGCCGCTCAGTAATGAGGATTGTCACTGTAGCTGCAGTGAACAGCAGAGACATACATGCACTTAGCCTGTTAAAGGTACCTCTAAGTGCCACAAAAATGTACAGCAAGAAAATACTTCTAGCGAAGATGTTACTAACAGAATTAAACAGGAAGGGTGGGGAGGAGGGGGCGCTGGGGAGATGGGAGGGGGAAACAAAGGAGGAGGCAACAATGCTTAATAAGAGATGTACTCATTACCTTGCCCATGTAATTGTAACCCCTCTGTATGGTATTTTCACAATAAAAAAAAAAAAGAATTGCACAAGAAGAATTTGAATTGGCTTCCAAAAGGTGAGTAAAATTGAGGCACATGAAGTTTAAAACTAAATCAGTATTTTGACTTTGCAGCCTTTAAAGCAGAATTTTCCTGCCCATGAGGGTTCAGTGTCCATGTAGCAAGTGATTTTGTGTGCCTTCTTGGACTCTGAGCCGGAGGCTTCTGTGGGACTGGATGCTTCGTGGGTCTCGAATCTGGAATCACATGTGAAAGGGCGTCTGAGTTAAATTTCAGTACGTGAGCACCTGCGTCAGACATAGCACATTGTTGAACAGAATAGACAAAGACCTGTGCTCTGCCAGGCCTTTCCTTACTGGATATTTGAAGACCCTCTTTGGTTATCTCTTGTGATTTTGTTTTGTTTTTAATTGTTATTTTTAAGGGGTTGTACAAAGGAGCTATAGTTTTATTGTTTTTTATTTTATTTATTTTTGTTCATTGTGGAACTTGAACTCTGGGCCTGGGCGCTGTCCCTCAGCTCTTAAACTCAAGGCTAATGCTCTACCCCTTGAGCCATAGCACCATTTCCGGCTTTTTCTGTTTATGTGGTGCTGAGGAATTGAACCCAGGGCCTCATGGATGCAAGGCAAGCGCTCTACCACTGAGCCACCTTCCCAGCTCTTAAAGAAGAAATGAAATTTTGCTTATTTTTATTTATTTTTTTGTGTGTTGGTCGTGGGGCTTGAACTCTGAGCTTAGGTGCTGCTCCTGAGTTCTCCAGCTCAAGGCCAGTGCTCTACCACTTGAGCCACAGCACCACTTCCGGGGTTACAGTTTTATAACTCAGGTTGTGAGTACTACTTGGGCATATCCCCTTCTTGGCTTTCCCACACACAGCATGATGGTGGTCATAACCTCACAGGGGTTTTGTGAGGGTGAATGGATCCTTTAGCTTGTCTCTGGGCAGTCAGGGCAAGGTCATTACATACTCAGGACAGACTAAGTGCAAATTAAGTCCTTCTGTGCTGTTGAAGAACTGTCTATGCACACAGTCAGCACACAGTGCTGTATTGGTAGAGACAGTTTCAGTCCACAGTTGACACTCATAAGAACTTCTGCTGAACATAGCACCTTTTTTCAGTGGTTCTCACTGGACGAAGTTCCCAAAGGAAAGCTGCACTTAAAGCTGGAGTGGCTTGCACTATTACCGGATGCATCGAACCTCGACAAGGTGCGTGAAGGGTCTGTTCTTAATGACCAATCGCTCAGGATCTAGGATCAGTCTCTGACCATGTTGCTACTTGACAAAAACAAAAAAACAGAACAACACACACACATACACACATAAATGTATGTCTGTATGTAAGTTTGTGTATGTGTATATAACACTAGTCTTTATTATGCCATTAGTTACTACAGTAATGTCAGGAATAAGTTAAAACATTAAAGAATTGCAAGTTATTATACTTGTTCTATAAGATCTTCAAATTTGTGCTTGTAATGGAAGAGATTCAGAACGATATAATCATTGTGTGAGTACTTTTAGTAAACAACCTCTTTTTTTGGGGGTGGGGGGGCTGGCCATGGGGCTTTAAACTTGTGGTCTGGTGTTGTCCTTGAGCTCTTTTGCTCAAACCTAGCACTCTCCTACTTTGAGCCACAGCTCTACTTCTCATTTTCTGGTAGTTAATTGGAGATAAGAGTCTTGCTGACTTTCCTGCATGGGCTTGATTTTAATCATGAGCCTGAGATCTCAGCTTCCTGAGTAGTGAAGATTACAGGCATGAGCCCCCAAGACCCAGCTAATAAATACTTTTTAAATGTTATTTCATACAAATCAAAGGGTATGAAATAACATTTGAAAGATACTGTTTCTGTTCTTGGTCTGTTGAATGCATTGAATGGTTTATTTCTCAGCTTTTTTTCTTGATCATAAATGACACAGTACAGTCAACTGGGAACAACCTGTCCTTGGTGAGCATGAACCTGCTGAGATACTTCCTTCCTTCTAGGTGCTGGCAGATATCAGAGCTGACAAAAACCAAGCCAATGATGGTCTTTCTTCTGCACTGCTGATTTTGTATTTGGATTCAGCAAGGAACCTTCCGGTAGGTTATGCAATGAAAACTCATTTGGGTGCTTTACTCCTGGTAGCAGATCTTGCTTGGAAATCTCTACTTTGTTCAGTCATGATGTACCATGTGGTTTTGTCTGGCTATGTGTTCAGTTCAGTGCAGAAGAGTAGCAACAGAGAAGTGTGAGTTAGCATTTTGCAGGTTCACCATTATTTTTATTAGAACTTTGTTGGCTAAAATGGGAATAGTCTCTGTTTGGAACAGGAATGAAATAAAACTGCTCTGAGCACAAACTTCAAAAACGGGGTGCAGTACCCAGAGCTGCTGAGGCCAGGCAGCCACCAGGGTGCCAGGTGCAGGTTGGCGCTGCTGGCCAGACATGCTGACCTTCAGGTAGCCAGGGTGGTTCAGCAGAACAGAGAGGACACACAAGCGATGTTTCACTGCCCAAAAGATACTTTTGTTTGTTTACATCAGCATTGTTTTGTTCTTAGAAAAACACAGTCTTAAAAATAACAGTTGGGCTGGGAAAGTGGCTCAGTGGTAGAGCGCTTGCCTTGCATGCCTGAGGCCCTGGGTTCGATTCCTCAGCACCACATAAGCAAAAAAAAAGAAAAAGAAAAAAGCCGGAAGTGGCGCTGTGGCTCAAGTGGTAGAGCGCTAGCCTTGAGCTGAAGAGCTGAGGGACAGCGCCCAGGCCCAGAGTTCAGGCCCCACGACCGGACCCAAAAAAAGAAAAAAAATAACAGCTAACTTTGGAAAAGGGAAATCCTACCAATCCAATCATTTTAGGCATAGGGTGATTCTCCACTGTCATGCTTTAAACCCAGTATTTAGGGTATGTTATTATTATAAATGTGATGTTGTTTGTTAATTTTTCTGATCATCCTGTCTTTGTCTACTGGGTAGTCATTTTTTATTTCCTTGTGCCAATGGCTGGTTTTGTTGAAAGGAAGACTACGGCTGCCAGGCACAGAGGCTCCACTTCCAACAGCTTTCACTGCATAATCATTTTTACTTGGTAAATCTCGTCACAGAAACACTTGGCTTTTTCAACCCTCTGTTTTGGACCTTTCCAGTATAATCCAACCTCGCTGTGGGAAAACTGTGTTTCTTTGTGGTTGATGGAATGGTTTTTATTTAGCATCTTTCAAGTTTTTAACATTGTACATTTACTTAGACTTTTCAAAAAAAGTAAATGTACTTTTTGAATCAATATATTTTATTTCAAGTTAATAAAAATACGATTGAACATTTATTTTCTACACTGGGAAGATGTAATTGTTGTTATAACTGCCTGTAATTGTACTCTTTCTTTCAATGAGGATTTTAATTTCTTGAATTCTTAACTTTTCTGAATGTTTGATCAGTCCGTTTAGGTAAAGTCTGTGACCTGTTGAGCATGGTGGTACATGCTTGTAATCCCAGCACTTGCAAGGCTGAGGCAGAAGGAGCATGAGTTTGAAACCAGCCTAGGCTTCTAGTGAGATCATACCTCAAACAAAATTAATCTGTGACCATATCTGTTAGAATTTCAATTTGCATAAGGTACTTTATTATTATTTAGCCTTTTTATAGAATTTCTTACCAGTAGAACTTTCTGCTTTTGATCATGATAGTGTTTACTATACACTGTTGTTTATAATGTCTGATAAAAGTAAATTTCCTGTATATTCATAGAAATAACAGAGGTGGCCAGGCTCTGGTGGCTCACACTTATAATCCTAGCTACTTAGGAGGCTGAGATCTGAGGATCGTAGTTTAAAGCCAGCCCAGGCAGTAAAATCCATGAGACTCTTATCTCCAGATAACCATCAAAAAAACAAAAGTGGAACTATGGCTCAGAGTGGTAGAGCACTGGACTTTGGCCAAAAAGAAAAAAGCTCAGGGACAGTGCCGAGGTCCTGAGTTCAAGCCCCACAACCAACACAAAAACAAAAGAGAAATACTAGAGTTCGTGAACTGGCAAGAAAGGATTTGGCCTCTCTGCAGAACTGTGTGCTTTGTACTATCAAAGTGAAATTCTAATACTGTCACATAAGCAAAGAGGCAGTGAGTGCGCTGCCCTTCTGTCAGGGGAGCACTCTGGATGTGGCAGTGCCGTGGCTGTTGGAGGCACAGCATCCCCACACAGCCACTGCTCCGCAAGGTATCTGGAGTAGCCAGAGCCTCGGCTGGCCAGGCCCTCGGTGTGTGGGTCCTCCTCGAGACTCTATCTCAGCACTCCTGTTTGTTTGTGCTTCTGTGCTTCTGGTGTGTACACACTGACCACAATCCACCATTCTTTGCTTTCTCTTCCCATCTCCACTTTCCTAAGAGTATCTACGAGGGAAACTTTGGGTGTGGCTACTTAAAAGAAAGGCGAGCGTCGGGACTAGTGTTTTGTGAGAATACTACCTCAGTCTATAGAGCACTATTTGTGAGTCCTCCAGCTCCTTCTTCTTTTGTTCAGTGGAGACTGCCCAAGTGTGGCCTGGAACTTTTGTGCAGTCTGTTCCTTGGAATGATGTGCATGCCGTTTTCCGTTCCTTGCATGATTTCAGTTACTGTGTCTTCACTTGGTGCTGTTTTTGTAGAATGTCACACTCTTGGGTAGTGCATCAGACATGAGATGAGCTAACCTAAGATCCTTCAACTGCTACTGACCCATAAGAACTAGAAAAGCAAAAAAACAAAAAACAAAACAATTTTAAAAAGTCCTTTGAGGAAGAAGTAAAGCCATAATGCTAAAATTTATCATCTATAGTTCATGTCCATCTGAGATGTGAATATTTCTTTTACAAGACTTTCCTAAATCTCCTTTTTCCTTCTGACCAAGTATAACAGTGTTAGAAACTGGCTCCCTCCTGTCTGTACCTTATATGTCTCTCTTGGTCACTAGACAGGGTCATGTGTGGCCAGGCTCACCCAGCCAGCGAGAGCCTGCCTTCTACCAGTGGCCTGGCCAGAACCCTCAGAGCAGAAAAAAAGCTGCATTGGGTTCAGCTTCTTTCTAAGAAGGAAGAATTAGTTTCCTAGAGTGGATAGTTGAGCATTTTGTTTTGCTCTCATTATATCTGCTTCCTGTGCTGTGTGTGGGGCCTTTACTCCTACTAATACCCTGGTTGATATCTAGTCTCACTCTATGGTCATTGAATACTACTGATAACTCACTTATTAGTCTAGAAAGCCATAATAATAATCAGTGAGATTCCTCAAGTCTGCTAGTACTTTTGGCCCAGTAATGAAAGGACTTGGCATTTTTGTAGAGCATTCCTTTGTTTCCAAAGGCTTTCCACATCCACCCTCAGTTTATTATCATTTTAAGATCAGGGGCTGAGGAGGACCATATTTAAAGAAGTATTTGTCTCATTTTCTAGATGAGGAAAACCTTGACTCCAGCAGGTAAGCAAGTCCCTTGGCACCTTCCTGGCCTTGTCCACTTACCTTTGTAAGGCCTTTTTAAAAGTCAGAAGGAAGTCAGTGTGGGAGAACACTCCTGTAATTCCAGTACCCCAGTGGCTGAGTCAGGAAGCTCTTATGCTTGAGGCCAGCCTGGGTTATATACATATTAAAATCCTATCTCAAAAAACAGAAGTCAAGAGGAGATTAGCAATGATGTATATATAATGTTTTAAAAAATCAGTTCTGGCCGGCGCCAGTGGCTCATGCCTGTAATCCTAGCTACTCTAGAGGCTGAGATCTGAGAATTGCGGTTCAAAGCCAACCTGGGCAGGAAAGTCCGTGAAACTTTTTCTTCAATAAACCACCAGAAAACCTGAAGTGGCACTGTAGCTCAAGTGGTAGAGCGCTAGCCTTGAGCTGAAGAGCTGAGGGACAGTGCCCAGGCCCAGAGTTCAAGCCCCACGACTGACCAAAAAAAAAAATATATCACTTCTGCTTCTAGTATTTCTTGGTGGAAAACATCATAAACAGTGTAAATGACAGGATCACTGTGCCATTTGCACTCTGTCAATCTTAGTGTCTCTTTTAACTTTTCTAAGTTGCTTTTTCCTAATCTGTAACTACTTCCCTGTCAGATTTGTAAATTGCTTTGTAGTATTTAGCCTATTACATTTCTTGGTTCTCAAAATTATTTTCTTTGTGCATTGTCAGAGCACATTGTACTTTACAACTAGGATGCATGAGACACGTAAATGCTCATAGAATAAATGTGGACACTTCCTTTTTACCCACTGGTTTCCTATAAGAAATCAGATCAGCTTTCTCAGTCTTTGACATCAGACTGAGGTATCATTGTACAAGTAAAGCTTTTAGATGGCTGTCACTCGTGGCTATTTTACTTTCCACTTGCTTCAGACAGCTTTAATTGCCATTCCAGGGACATATTGCCAACCTAAAAATGATGCAGTAGGACCTTACTGGGTTATAAATGGCCCCTTTTATTATAGACTCCCAGGACTTGACCCTTCTCCTTCCAAACTCTGCCCTGCCCCGCCTTCCTGACCAAACCCTGTTCTCCAACTTTAGGCCTGCACACTGAGGGTATTCTGACTATGATGGCCAGGACAGCTTTAGAATCTCAGGCTTATAATACTGTGTTTACAAGTACTTTCCAATATCTAAGCAATCAGGCTGTGAGGAATCTATGTATGTATCTAATTTAGTCTGTAAAGACAACACAGAAGTCATAAGTGACTGAGACTAGAGAACTGCAGCCACATCACTTGATTAAGTTTATAGATGCACAGTTCTGTACGTGGAGTTCATCTGAAGTGAGGGGCATTTACATAGTGCCTGCTTTAAGTGTAACCATGAGGTTTTTGCCCACTTTAGTGGTACCTGTCTATAATTTTAGCCCTAAGGAGGCTGAGGTAAGAGGATCTGGTCTATGTAAAATGTTGCTAGCCTGAACAATATAGCAAGACCTTGTCTTAAAAAACAACAAAAACACCTGACAACTCTATAATAGCAACTCTTGTATTCACCCGTAAGGACAAGTATGCCTCTGTTATTTTGGCTCTTGCTTAAGCAAAAAAGTGTAGGTGCTACTGCCACCTCCGTAGGTGGTCAGGGTCTAGAAGTACATGGATCCTGCCTTCTGCCTCTCAATCCTAGATACTAGTCCAACGCATCTCAGTCACTAGTCTGTCTGGCCTCCAGGCCGTGCAGCTTGCTGTGATCGCACACAGTTCCTCTTACACGCCAGTTTCACACCACAGCTGCTTTTGTCCCCATGACTGGTGCATGGTACACTAGCAGGCACATTTGGCCCAGCCATCTCTGCCTAGCATGAGCGTCAGGAAAGGCCTCACTCTTGAAGGCAGCCTCCTATGACCCATAGTGTGCAAGCTGATGGCGAGTGCCTTCTCCAGGCACCAGCCAGAGATGGAAGAAGTGGTTTTATGTCTTTGGAGAGCCCTGCAGACTGAACAGATGTCTCGAACTGAGTATCATGGACTCCTGGCTTCCCAGGTGTTCCACCTTCCCACACACTCAGCACCAGTCACAGAAGACCGGGAAGCTATCTTCCTCCATGACCACATCTGCTGCTTGACACAAAGGTACACATCAAGTTCAGTTTGCCGTCTGAAGTTAATTACAGCTACACTGATAAAAGCCTTTAACCTCAAAACATTAGTCCAGGAAGTAACTTGCAAAAGAATTCAGTCTTACCCTTATGAAAGTAACAGGTTGAAAACAACTCAGTGGGGCTGGGAAGGTGGCTCAGTGGTAGAGCGCTTGCCTTGCGTGCATGAAGCCCTGGGTTCAATTCCTCAGCACCACGTAAGCAGAAAAGGCCAGAAGTGGCGCTGTGGCTCAAGTGGTAGAGCGCTCGCCTTGAGCTGAAGAGCTGAGGGACAGCGCCCAGGCCCAGAGTTCAAGCCCCACGACCGGACCAAAAAAAAAAAAAGAAAACAACTCAGTAAAAGGACACCAAACCCAAGTAGTAGGATATAATTTGAACCCAAGAGAAATGACCTTTTCAGCCTCTACGGTGGGTTCGCACAGAGTGGCCCTGCTTTAGCAAGAAGGCCTGGCTGAGGCAGCACCCAGCACGCCTCAGATGACACCCGAATGGCAGGGATACGGTAGAGGCTCACTTGGCAGAACCTTTCCCCAGGCTTCACTCCGGCATTCCCAGCTCACTAAGGCCAGGGTTGAGAATAAAGGACTGCTGAAGATAAATGTGTTTTGATATTTCTGGATTAAGGTCACTCTAAGGTAAAATTCTGAACATAAAGAAGAATTTAATAGTTGTGTGTGCTACTTAATTTGGTTTAAATTTTGTTTATTTTCATAATTTCCATGTCATTAACCTTACATAAACTCCTCATTGCATGTTTTATTAACCCTTGGTGTATTCGTTTTCTTCTGATCTGAAAGAGTAACCCATTAGACTTTAACCCCGGTGTCTTGAAGAAGTCTGCAGTTCAGAGAGCTTTAAAGGTAAACGAAGTGTTCTCTTGAGGTCATGGTGTTAATCAAGACATATTGAAAGAGATGATACTTGGGCTCTCGTAAGTATGTGGGCAGATTTCCTCCCACCTTAATGTAATTGTCCGTTAAAAAGAGATCCAGCTTTTGTTATCCAAGAATGGGAAAGAAGAAATTAATAATGTACAAAAATATGATAAATTAGATTTCTTTGTGTCTCTAAAGCAATTGAAACATCCATATTTTGTTTGGATTTGGATTTGTGAAAATGGAGATCTAGTTCTAGTTATAGTCTTGTCCAACTTTTGCAATATGATTTAAAGACCCACCTTGCCAACTGTGCCTGCAACATCGATTAAATCACCTCTTCCAATATGTTGAGTAGGGGCCTCTCTGAGTCAACAACCTCATGTCTTTGGTGCTGTGGGTTTGGGTAGCAGATCTTTCCAGAAGCTTTAAATTTTCAAATGAGGTATATTGAAAACTAAGCTCCACCCCCTAAAACTTGACACTGCCCTTTATTCTGTAACTTGTTTGTTAAAAGTTCAATCACTTCAATGCTTTTTCTCCCCAGGTTTAAGCCTAAATAAGGAAGGGTGTTAAATATGATTGTTTTAAGAAAATTCCCAAAGAACCAGGAAATGTTTAGCCAGTTTCACGGAGAAAAGTTAAATTTCAAAGATAAAGGATGCTGGGGAAAGAAGGCTTTTCAGTGCTTGTACCTGATTCTGAGTGGTGGTGTGTGGGTCAGGGGTGGCATCCTGTGAGTGCAGGTCAGCACGCAGTGAAATGCCTGCACCGCCTTGGCCCTGGAGGGACAGGACAGCCCTCCCGGATCCCTGCCCCTTGCTGTTGGAAAGTTATTGCTCTGCAGGTGTCAGGCTGCTCAGCACTTCGACCCATAGGGATGTTTAACCACTTGTTTAATCAAGATGAAAGTATTCTCCATTGGATTACTAAATTAAAGTAAGGCATACTAAGGGCCAGATGCCTGGCTCAATGATACAGAACTTGCCTGGCATGCACATGGTCCTAAGTTCAAACCCCATAACCCTCTCAAAAAGCATACAGATGTGCATTGTGTAGGAAAGCAGGTGCACTAAGATCATGGTGTCACATTAGTTCATTTAATCTTAATATCAAGTTCTAGAAATGACATCATGTCCGGTTTGCAGATGTAGGAACTAAGGATGACATTGGTGAAACAATCGGGTGCCGGTGGCTCATGCCTATAATCCTAGCTACTCAGGAGGCTGAGATCTGAGGATTGCAGTTCAAAGCCAGCCCGGGCAGGAGAGACCGTGAGACTGATCTCCAATAAACCACTAGAAAACCAGAAGTGGCACTGTGGCTCAGGCCATAGAGCACTTGCCTTGAGCTGAAGAGCACAGGGACAGCGCCCAGGTCCAGAGTTCAAGCCCCACGACCAACAAGAAAAAAAAAAGAGAGATTGATGAAACAATTAGGTTTCACTAGGCGAGAGATAAAAACCTGAGATTTAATTTCAAGATAGTGTGACTTAAAAACTTACATTTTTGGGCTGGGACAGTGACTCAGTGGTAGAGTGCTTGCCTTGCATGCATGAGGCCCTGGGTTCAATTCCTCTACCACATAAGCAGAAAAAGCCACAAGTGGTGCTGTGGCTAAGTGGTAGAGCGCTAGTCTTGAGCTGAAGAGCTGAGGGACAGCGCCCAGGCCCAGAGTTCAGGCCCCACTACTAACAAGCAAAAACAACAACCAACAACAGAAAACAAACATTTTCATTATACTTTATATCTTTGCCTTGTGTTTGTGCATTTTGGATACTGTGTTATTATAGGAAACTTAATGAATAATTTAATCTTATTTCATATAATCTAAAATGTCATCCATATTGAAGAACATTATTTTATGTACCACTAAGAAAGATTATAAAATGTCAGCTAAATTTTGACAGTATTTATTTTACATTTAGGAGATATATACACACACACACTAAGTACATTCCTCACGCACATATATAAAAGCAAAATGTAAGCATGATGAATTGGTTAAGATGGCTACACTTGTTTCACTACTGCAAACTACTCAAAAAGCAAGTATGTGGTATTATCAATGATAAGTTCCCATCTGTTTTCAGAGATGTTACAAAGTAGGGAATAAGTGTGTCTTTCAATTGTAAAATACACTAAATCTATTCTGGGTGCTGGTGACTTATACCTATAATCCTAGCTACTCAGGAAACTGAGATCTGAGGATTGGATCACAGTTTGAAGCTGCCTTCACAGTCAGGATATTCTGTGAGATTCTTATCTCCAATTCACCAGTAAAAAGCTGAAAGTGTGGATTTGGCTCAAATGGTAAAGAACCCAACTTGAGCCAAAAAGCCCATTGAGAGCATGAGGGCCTCCGTTCCAGCCCCAGCCTACACACACATACACACAAGACACAGTGAATCCCGGGGATCATAGACTGCTCTTCAGAGATGAAGTACTTGTACTAGTTAGGAGACAAACTTGTTGTCTGTGTCAAAGAGCCAGGATAGCACTGGTTGACGCATGACATGTTGATGGCCTCATGGATGAGATCGGGGAAGGGATATCCCTGTTAAGTCTGGCCCCATCTACCTACAAGGGACGTGTGTGCATAGAATTTTATTCACAGAGGACTGTGGTCAGCACAGACTTGAGGATCCTAATATTAAATGAAGACAGAAACAAGTGAATTAGGGAGAAGTCAGTGCTCTCTGCCACAGTTGTCTGAAGCATTGGATATTTCTTTAACAGCATTTATTTCATTTTGCAGAATTCATTCACATCAAAAAAGATGAACCAGAAAATAGATTGTCACAGTAGGTTTGCGATAGTAATATTTTCCCAATAATAATGTGATTTTCACACCTATTTCTGTCATTGCTGCAGTGTTGAGGATTGACTCTAAAATTTTGTAACTAAAAACATTTTTGTGACCCTCTAATTAATTTTCACTAACAGATATTTAACTACACCTTCTTATGGGGCTAAGTTATAAATAAACCTCATGTCACATATCTGTTGTATTTTGCTATGTTTTCTTCTATCAGCTGTCTGTGATGATGCTGCTTGCTATTTTTTTATTTCTGAATTTTTTATAATATGTTTTCTTAATTTCATGCAATTCTAAACTGACATTCTTGTAGTCAAAATTAGGTAGCACCTAATAATCAAGATTTGAAGTCTGATAGCTATGTGTTCTTGTGCAGAGGATGTTATATTAAAAATGCAAGGCTTGTATCTGAAAACTTAGTGTTTTGTTATTCCAACTGGAGAATTTTGAATTACCATTCTTTTACATTTGTCTTCTCATGGTTCTTAAGAGTTATAATTAACATTAAATGTTAAAAGAGCCAGGTTCTGATAGCTCAGACCTCTCATTCTAGCTACTCAGGAGGCTGAAATCTGAGAACCCCAGTTCAAAGTCAGACCAGGCAGAAAAGTCCCTGAAACTCTTATCTCCAACTAGCCACCAGAAAACTGGAAGTAGAGCTATGGCTTAAAGTGGTAGAAAGCTAAATTTGAGCAAAAGGAGCTTAGGTGCAGCACCCAGGCTCTGAGTTCAAGGCCTATGACCGACCCCCCCCCCAAAAAAAAAAGTTAAAAGATTGAGTTTTCCCCAATACACTGCTTAACTTTTAACTTTATCATTTAAGGATAGTGTGTAGCCAGACAGTGGTATGTGTGTGTCTGTAGTCGTAGCTACTCAAGAGGCAGGAGGATCAGGCAAGCCTGGGATTCGAGACCAGCCTGAACAGCAGAGCTGAGACCCCTAAAAAGTGTGAATGAAAGTTTTCTTAATTTATTTTATGGTATAAACAGGTACGGGCTAGGGTGTGCCTTGAAATTGTTTTCCAGCTAAATTGTTCTCAAGTATCCTTTGTATCTGAAATATCAGAGATAAATAGATACAACTCATAATTTTGGCCAATAGTTTCATTTTTAGTAGAACTCATTTAGAAATGTGTCTAATAATTTTATCTATTTTGCTTTTGTTTTGGGGTAGTCAGGGAAGAAAATAAACAGCAACCCAAATCCTCTTGTCCACATGTCAGTTGGTCACAAGGCTCAGGAAAGTAAGGTAAGGCACTAACATGTGGCTGATTTTCTGACACTACCTTAATACGATCACAATTAACACTGTCACCATCCAGCGCTGTTCCAGGTATATGGCGTGTGGCCGCCAGGACCGTTGTGTTCTCTTTTTTTCCCCCTTTAAAGCCATCATTTAATAGATAACCAACTACCTACTTTGTAAATGAATGTATTTCTATTTTTTAAAATAACTTTAAAAGTACCATATGAATGATTTCATGGATATATGGGAAAAATGCCCAAGTTTCCTTTGATCAGCCTACAAATAGCTTTAAGATAACCAAAAGTACTTAAATCCACCACATATAGTTTAGGTCCAAGGCTTGAAATAAAGTATTGCTATTGTTTTAATATGTCTTTCTCACTGACTTTTAGCAATTATTCAGTGACAGGTCACTGTTTACTGAGAGTCATCTCCATTTAACCAACAGAAAACTGGAAGTGGTGCTGTGGCTCAAGTGGTAGAGCGCTAGCCTTGAGCTGAAGTGCTCATGGACAGCAGTGCCAGGCCCAGAGTTCAAGGCCCACGACCAACAAAAAAAAGTGGGGGGCTGGGAAGGTGGCTCAGTGGTAGAGTGCTTACCTCCCATGCATGAGGCCCTGTGTTTGATTCCTCAGCACCACATAAGCAGAAAAAGCCAGAAGTGGTGCTGTGGCTCAAGCGGTAGAGCGCTAGCCTTGAGCTGAATTGCTGAGGGACAGCGCCCAGGCCCAGAGTTCAGGCCCCAGGACCGACCAAAAAAAAAAAAAAGGCAGAAAAAGACTCCGAAACTTTGGACTGTCTATCCATCTGTTCGAATAGTTTAACACTAATATGATAGTACATCTCAGTAATCTCTTAGAATTTGATTGAAGTTATCCTGTCCTGTAAACATTCGTAAGTACAGTGCTGGTATTCCTTTCCCAGAGCATATATCAGCGCTAATGTTGGACTATTTCTTTCAGATTCGGTATAAAACCAATGAACCTGTGTGGGAGGAAAACTTTACTTTCTTTGTTCACAATCCCAAGCGCCAGGACCTTGAAGTTGAGGTATTTTACTTGCATTTTTAATCTTGTGTTTAATAATTAGTACAGTAAGCTATACATAAAGAATACAGTTTGATGAGTTCTGATTTGTACACACATATCCATGTGATTTTCATATAGTAATATGTTGTTATACAACCCTACTAAACTTAAGTTTGCTTTTGATCTCGCAACATAGACAAGGCTGGGATGAAAGTCATGTACTACCCTGCCTGACATGTGTTAATTCTAGTGACTGTTGCATAAATGTCTTAGGGTTTTATGTGTGGGCAGTGGTATTACCCACTGTGAGGGCCACTTCTGCTTCCATTGCTCCTCTTGCTTGCCCACCTTCCTTATTCTCTGTGTGGTGAAGAGTTGGTGCAGAGACACCCTACCCCTACCCCCACCTGGTGCAGTGAAACTACCGGGACTGGTCTCCCAAGATGCCTGATCAGAGATGCTCCCTCGGCTTGTCCTAGTTTGCTGAGCGTTTGTTTTCATGGGTGAATATCAGATTTCACTCAAAGGCTTTTCTGTATTTAGTCAAATGATTATAGTGGTTTTTTTTTTTTAAATAAGATTCACTGTTGATTTTCTAATATTAAAACTGAAGGGATTTTATTTACTTTTTAGGATCAATGTTTGGAAACATTACAAGCAAATTTTTGTTCAGGGATAGGCCCCATGTGGACATATGTTCAGTCTGACTCTTTGAAATTTTTGTGTCTTACAATAGACACCCATCTGTACTATTCTTTCCTTATAGCATCCTTTTCTATTTTGGTGTCTGGGTATTTGACCCCTTGAATGAATTAGGAAGTATCCTTCCTCTTTGATTTTCTGAGTTTGTGTAGAACTGATTTTTTAAATCTTTTTTTTTTTTTTTTGCCTTATATATTTGGTAGCCTGCAGTTTTCCTTGTGAAAAAGTTTTTAAAGGCAAACTCAAGCCAGGTGCCGGTGGCTCACACCTGTCATCGTAGCTACTCAGGAGGCTGAGATCTGAGGATCGGGGTTCAAAGCCAGCCTAGGCAAGAGAGACCGTGAGACTCCTATCTCCAATAAACCACCAGAAAGCCAGAAGTGGCACTGTGGCTCAAGTGGTAGAGTGCTAGCCTTGAGCTGAAGAGCTGAGGGACAGTGCCCAGGCCCAGAGTTCAGGCCCCACGGCCGACAAAAAAAATGCAAACTCTATCCTGTCAGTGGATATAGAGCTATCCAAGTTATCTGTTACTTGTGGTTTGATTGTGACATTAATGTCTTTCAAGAAATTGGTTGCTTTGATCTGTGTTGTTGAAACCTTTCTATAAGGTTAGCCTTTGATGTTTTCCAGTCCCATTGAAATGTGTGTGTACATAGGAGATGATCTTCCCAGTCTGACAAGAGGTTTATTGATTTTACTTTCTGAAAGAAATAACTTGTGGTTTCATTGATGATCATTATTGTTTTTTTTCTTCATAATTTCAGTAGTTTTGCCATGATCAATCTCATTTCATGTTTTACGGTTATTCAGCTTTCATTTGCTTCTCTTTGCCTAATTTCTGAAAAGGAAACTTGATAGAAGAACTGTTATAACACAGGCATTTGGTCTAACTTTTGACTTACAGTTTCATTTTTATTTCTTTTGATAATTTCCCTTTTGATTATTATTTCCTCCATTTCCCTTTGCCCACCCTCCCTCCCTCCCTCCCTCCCTCTCTCCCTCTCTCTCTCTCTCTCTTTCTTTCTCTTTCTCTTTCTCTCCTTCCTTCCTTCCTTCTTTCTTTCTTTCTTTCTTTCTTTTTCCCTCTCCTGTCGTGGAGCTTGAACTCTGGGCCTGGGCGCTGTCTCTCAGCTCTTCAGCCCAGGGCAAGTGTTCTGCCACTTGAGCACAGTTCCATTTCTGGTTTTCTGATGGTTTATTGGAGAGAAGAGTCTCACATGGACTGTCCTGCCTGGGCTGGCTTTCCAGAGTAGCTAGGATTACAGGTGTGAGCCACTGGCGCCAGGCTGCATTTCTTCCTTGTTTTGAGGATTTCTGATTTACACATATGTTGCTTAGTGTTTAAGTAGTTGGGAGTTTTAAACATTCCATAATGGTCAGAGTATATGCTTTGTATAACTTGAGCCCTTTACATTGAGAATGGTTTGTTGCCACAGCTTTCCTTTGGCTTTTTAAAAGTTGTTAGTTGGAGGTAAGAATCTCAAAGACTTTCCTGTAAGGGCCGTTTTTTGTTGTTGTTTTTTTAAAGAGATTGTCGACCAGCTCTGTTGATTGGAAACAAACGTGACAGTTCAGCTTTTTCAAGGGTCTCAGTAGACATATGGAAGGAACGGAGACACTGTGTCAGGACCTGCTAGGAATCAGAAATGAGTAACGCCTGTGTTCCTTTTCACAGCTCTGCTCATACCTTCTCTCTGTGTGAGTTTGTTTTGTTGCCTGTGTTCCTTTTCACGGCTCTGCTCATACCTTCTCTCTGTGTGAGTTTGTTTTGTTGCCTGTGTTCCTTTTCATGGCTCTGTTCATACCTTCTCTCTGTGTGAGTTTGTTTTGTTTTGTTTTGTTTTTTGTCTGTCATGGGCCTGAACGCTGGGCGCTGTCCCACTGCTCTTCAGCTCAAGGCTAATGCTCTACTTTTTCTGCTTATGTGGTACTGAAGAGTCAAACCCAGGGCATCATGCATACAAGGCAAGCGCTCTACCAGGCCCCAGTTTGGTGGGTTCTTTTTGAATATTTTTTTAATTGAGATTAAGTGATTATATAAATTTTACAAATTTCACAGTATTTTGGAATAGTGATATTTACTTAAAGTCGCAAGCACATTTTAACCTTCATGAGGCAAACTGTCATTGTCATTATTGTGGTCTATAAAGCTTATGGACTCTACAAACTTTGACACTCCAGCTATTTATTCCAAATCAGGTGATACGTACATTTTTTTCCTTTTGTTTAGTGTAAGCTATTCCTACTTTCCCTCTTATTCCCTCCCTCCCACCACTGCCCTTGAGTTGCTTAGTTCATTTTAATCAATATCCAGTGCAGCCGATGAGCCCCTCTGTGTATTTTTTCCCATTTCCCTCTGATTCTGTGTCCTCCTCCTAGCGTCCCTCAGATGTGCACATGTATACACCATATATGAGGTCAAGAACATGGAGTCATCTAGAAACGATAGAACAAACTACGTAGAGGTCCTTTGTTTCTTGAGTCCTGTTTTCTGTGTCGTATCTGCATTTTGAATTAACATCCACATATCGGGGGACCATGCGCCATTTGTCTCTCTGATCCAGTGCTGGTTTTGAACCATCATCTTTAGATCTAAGCCCCCTGTGTGGTGAAGATTGCAGGCGTGAGCCACCAGTGCCTGGCTGTGGCCCCTGTTGATGCCTGCCCCCCACCTACCTGAAGAGCATGTGTTTCTGCTGTGGAGTGAATCTTAGCAGAAGGGAGCTAAGGGGGACACCTTTGTGTTCTCTGTACTCTGTTTTCTATCTGTTTGCTGTGTCTGAGATAGAGCTTGTGGAACTTATACTCTAACTGTATCTACCTGTTTTTTTTAATCGTTCTCTGTTTATGCTACATTTGTTCAGAGCCTCACTAATAGATGGTGTGAACATCAGGGGCTGAAGTCTCATCAGCATGCCCTGTTTCATTGATGTTTGTTGTTTTATACTCGTGACCTCTGTTATACATAAAAATACTTGGTAGGAGCCAGGCACGGGTGGCTCATGCCTGTAATCCTAGCTACTCAGGAGGCTGAGATCTGAGGATCACGGTTCAAACCCAGCCCAAGCAAGAAAGTCCGTGAAACTCATCTCCAATAAATCACAAAAAAAAACGAAATGGAGCTATAGCTCAAGTGGTAGAACACTAGCCTTGAGCTGAAGAGCTGGGGGACAGTACTCAGGTCCAGAGTTCAAGCCCATGACCGACAAAAAAAACCCCAAAACAAAAAAACTTGGTAGGTGCCAGTAGCCCTCTAATTCTAGCTACTCAAGAAGCTCAGATCACAGTTTGAAGCCAAAGTTCATGAGACTCTTATCTCCAATTAACCACCAAAAAGCTGGAAGTGGAGCTGAGGTTCAAATGATAGAGTCCTCCTTGAGTAAAGAAGCTCAGCACCTAGGCCCTGAGTTCAAGCCACAGGACTGTCATAAACAAAAACACCCTGTATCTATAATTTTCCTTTATAAAATATTAAAATAACTTGTACTTTTGAAGTGTGTGTGTGTGTGTGTGTGTGTGTGTGTTATTGGGTCTGAACCCAGGACCCTGCACACACTAGATGAGTGCTCTACCACAGAGGCGCATTTGCAGGCCAAATGTGCCTGCAATAAAATAATAAAATAATTTATTTTTTTAATTTTTTTTTTTTTTGTTGGTCATGGGTTTTGAACTCTGGGCCTAAGTGCTGTCCCTTAACTCCTCAGCTCAAAGTGAGCACTCTACCACTTGAGCCACAGCGCCACTTCCAGTTTTCTAGTGGTTTATTGGACATAAGAGTCTCATGAACTTTCCCACCCAGGTGGGCTTTGAACTGCAATCCTTAGATCTCCACCTCCTGAGTAGCTGGGATTTCAGGAGTGAGCCACCCAGCCTGGCGATCTTTGTTTTTGTTTTTTTTTTTAATATAATTGTACTGTAAGTAAGGTCTTATACAGAGGGATTACCATTTTCTAAGTCAGGTAATGAGTACATTTCTTTCTGGACAGTGTCACTCCTTTCTTTGCTTCGTTCCCGCACCCATCCCTGCATACAAGTTGCATAGTTTTCACATAGTGTCAACTGCATACCATGCATTTGTTCAGCCTTCCTCCCTCCGAATCACCCCTTTGCTGGCCGAAAGCAAAAGCAAAAAACAATACCACCACCACGTCTCTATTTCCTGGAATTGGTTTCCATAAATAGTATTCTATATGATCAGAGTAATTTGCCTTTGGATTCCTCCCCTAAGACTATCCTCCTTTAGTCTAACTTTCTGTGTGTGAATTTTTAGAGCCCTGTATAAGTTATCATGTCCAGTTGTATATTAGATCCAGCTTCTGTATGTGAGAGAACACATGCACCATTTGTCTCTGAGCCTGGCTTACTTCATTTAACATGATTTGCTCTAGGTTCATACACTTCACTGTCAATGATGTAATATTATTCTAGTAGATGAGTAAACTTCTATCATGTATCTGTACCACATCTTTTTGATGGACTCGTCTATTGTAGGGCAACTGGGCGGTTCCCATAGCTTGTCTATTGTGGCTAGTGCAGCAGTGAACATGTGTCTTTACCATATCCTGGCTTGTGATGTTCTAGGTAGACAGCCAAGAGTGCTGGGTTATAGAGGACTGGTGTGTTTAGTTTTCTGAGGATCTGCAAAGTGCCTTCCAGAATGGTTGTACTAGTTTATATTCCCGCCAACATTCCCCACATTCCCTGCCAACATATGTTTGAATTGTTGTTTGAATTTACAATATTGGCTAGTCTTACCTGGGGTGAGATGGAATCTCAGATTGCATTTCCTTTATGGTCAGGGGTGATGAACATTTCCTCATGTGTTTGCCATTCTTCTTCTGAGAAGTCTCAGTCTAGTTCCTTTGCCCCTTTAGTAATAGGTTTATTTATTTGGGGGGAGTTAGTTTCTTGAGTTCCTTGTGTATTTTGGATATTAGCTGTGAAATGTTTGAAGTGTATTTTTCAAAGGCTAGTTTTTGGACCTTTCAATGTTTTCTGTTCTGTGTTTTGCAGGTCAAGGATGAGCAGCATCAGTGCTCCTTGGGGAGCCTGAGGGTCCCCCTTAGTGAGTTGCTCACCAGTGATGACATGACAATAAACCAGCGGTTTCAGCTGAGCAACTCTGGACCAAACAGCACCTTAAAAATGAAGATTGCTCTTAGGGTACTGTACCGTCCTTCATATGCTAGTGGGAAGAGAGAAGGCAGATGCAACCCGCGCTGCTCCTGGTCCCAGCCAGTGTGGCTGGTGGTGGAGAGGTGTAGGGAGGTGATACAGCAGCCAGGTGGCTGTGGTGGTAGGGACCATCAGGGAGTTCTTTTGAGGAGAGCAGAGACCATAGCAGTCTTGGACTTCTAACAAGCACTTCATTTCTAGGTATCAGCAGGCCAGTGGCTCAGAAAGCGTCACTCCGTCAGAGGCAAGCAGCAAGCCTTGGGTTTAAATCCCTAGAAACTTGCTGGGCATTCAGTGGCTCACATCTCTAATCCTAGCTACTCAGAAGGCTGAGGTCTAAGGATCCAAGTTGGAAGCCTGCCTAGGCAAAAAATCAGAGAGGCTCTTATCGCCAAATCACCATCAGAATGCTAGGACTGGATGCTGGGCTGAAGTGTCAGTAGTTCAGCCACAACAAAAAAGCTGCGCAAGAGCATGAGGCCCTATGTTCAAGCCCCAGTACCAGAGCACACGTGTGTGTACACACACATGCACACACGGTCTCTCTCACCAGTTCTATCAATAAATAATCAATTTTATCTATCTAAAATATACAGGAGTTGGGGGCATAGCTCAAGTACTAAAGCACTTGCCTAGCAAAGTCAGGGCACTGATTATAAACCTTAGTGCCATAAAACAACCACACACACACACATGAACATGTGCACTTAAACATTACATACAAGCGTATGTACACACATATATACACATGAAACATTAACATAAGAAGCCTACTGTTTTGTTTTTTTTAATGCTAGGGATTGAATGCAATGTCTTACTCATGCATGGCAAGTGCTCTACTATTGAGTTATCTCTATCCAGAGAATGAACTTTTAAAAATAGTTTAAATGAACTGGATCTCTTGAAGATCGTAATGACAGTATTCTTTGTACCTGATTAGACTCAGAGCACTGGTGCAACCTTTGGCAGAGTTCCCAGCTACAAATTCCATGTTCTTAGGACTAGTGGCCCTGTTTCCAAAACGTGACTCTTGGTAGTTGCACGATATACAGGGAGGCCATGAGCATGTGGATGTTTACTGACATTTTGTTTCTTAAAAGTGAGGAAATCCTCAAGCCATCTTTGGAGCCCCAGAATGGAGGGCCCACAGGGTTCAGAGGTTGTTACTAGTCTGTGTGTGTGTGCACATGTATGTGTGTGTGTGTGCGCGCACACACTACTTTTGTCGCTGCTCCAGGATGTGCCCCAAAGCTGGGGGACATTGTGGCTGGCCCCTGTTGGCTGCTGCTCTGCACTTGGTGGTTTAGAGTTGCACAATGAGATCAGATTTTCTCTGAACTTCCTACATATGTAGGGGCTCATTGTCTTATCAGGGGTCTGTGGCTTGGTAGGCTTCTCTCATGAGAACATTGTTCCACAAATTGTGGAAGAATGTGTACAAATAGAAGAGACCAGAAAAAGACAGAAGAGGTATTTCGACTACTGAAACTGCTTTTTCTAAATTTGTAGCAGAATATGACTTTGATAAGTGAATAACTGAAAAGATAATACTTAATTAAAAAAATTTTTGAGCCAAGTTTTAAAGATACTTGGGAATGGATGCATCTAACTTGATATAGTCAAGATGTGCTCAGATGTTGCTAGTGTAACTGGGTTCCGTGTTTATTGCCTCTAGGTACTTCATCTGGAAAAGCAAGAGAGGCCTCCGGACTACCAACATTCAGCTCAAGTGAAACGACCTTCTGTTTCCAAAGAAGGAAGGAAAATGCCTGTCAAATCTCAAGTATCTGCCTCTGGTAGCAGCACTGGTGGTAGCAGTGTGGCTCCACCCACACCAGTGCTGGGGAGCCACGAGGAGCCTAGAGTGGAGGAAGAGGCCCACCCCCCGGACGCCACCCCTCCCAGGCAGGGAGACCTGGGCAGGAGCTCCTCCAGCCTCCTGGCCTCCCCCAGCCACGTCTCTGCCAAGGAGCCCACACCCAGCATCGCGTCAGACATCTCCCTGCCCATCGCCACCCAGGAGCTGCGTCAAAGGCTACGGCAGCTCGAGAAGTAACTATTATTAATGCTTTCGGCATTGTTTATCACAGAGTGTGCACCCCACACCACATTGTCAGACACCATCAGAGTTCAGATCGCCACATGGAAGGTTGTCATCAGGCTTAGACTTTGTCCCCACATCAAGGGTTGTTAATACCCACACACTAAGGGTTATTGATACCATGAGAGAGTTGTTAACATCATCAAAGCTCATGTCCTCCATGCCGAAGTTAGTTGTTCTTCACACATCACAGTTCACATTCTATACACTTAAAGTGGTTATTGCCATTAGCGTCTATGTCTCTCATACTAAGGGCAACTGTAAACTCCATCAGTTTACATCTGCCATAGCTATGGTTGTTAACACTTACCAGTTCTCATCCCTATACTGAGAAAGGTGGTTTTTACCAGGTTCACATCTCCTGTACTGAGAGTGGCGGTCATTTACACCATCAGAGTTCACACCCCACACTGAGGGTGGCGGTCATAAACATCATCAGAGTTCACACCTCACTCTGAGGGGGCGGTTATAAACACCATCAGAATCCACATCCTCACGCTGAACACCGCCACATACCATAGGAGGGAGCTAGATTCTTAGGTTAGTTAGCCAGACTAATTTTGATTTGTGCTGTTGTTTCATAATCTGAATCTTTGATCTTCAAAATAAGACCTGCTGTTTTATAGTTGTATAGCAGAATGGTGAAGTAAGAATTTTGGCAAGTAGGAAGGGTAGGAGGCTTAGCACCATGCATGTGCTTCTGGCCAGGAATGCCAGGAATGGATGGGAAGGGTCTCCTGTGGACCCTTACGTGTACATGGGCAGTTTGGCTTGGCTCCTTTTGCAGAAGAGTGAGTCTTTGCTTGTGTGGGCAGCATCCCATTACCACCATTCAGTCCCTCTTGTCTGGATGTTTGTGTTGGTTTCTTATTTTAAGCAGAGATTCATAACCATGCATATGGCTTCTTAGAGTAAGGAAGAATATAGTTAATGCATCCATTAGATGCTAAAAATTCCTGTGATTAGGGTATATTGGCCTCTGAGACTGCTCTTCCTATTTTAAATTTTTTATTGTGATTAAGTGATTACATAAATTTCACAGTATTGTGAGATAGTGATTAGTTAGTCACAAACACATTCTAACCTTCATGAGGCAAATTGTCATTATCACAGTCTATAAAGTTTGTGAATTCTATGAGCTTTGACACTGTATCTATTTATTTCTATATCAGGTGATATGTACATCTTTTTCCTTTTGCTCAGTGTCAGCTGTTCCCTCTTCCCCTCTCCTTCCCTCCCTCCCATCGCTGCCCTTGAGTTGCTTAGTTTGTTTTCATCAATGTCCAGTGCAGCTGATGGGTTGTTGTATGTTTTCCTGTTTCCCTCTGTTTCTGTGTCCTCTTTCTAATTTCCCTCAGATGTGCACATATATGCCATATATGTGGTCAGCAGCATGCAGTCATTTAGTAATGATAGAACAAGATGAGTGGAGGTCCTTTGTTTCTCGAGTCTTGTTTACTTTGTTGTATCTCCTTATGTTTTGGCTTTAGCATCCACATATCAGGGAGACCATGTGCTGATTGTCCCTTTGCTCTTGGCTTACCTTACTCAGAATGTTCCATTCATTTCCGTGAATGCCATATTTTGTCCTTTCTAATGGCTGCATAATGTTCCGTTAGGTACCACAATTTTTGGATCCATTCATCTGTAGTGGGGTATTTGGGTTGTTTCCATATCTTGGCTATTGTGAACAGTGCTGCAATGAACATGGAGGTGCATGTGTCCTTGTATCCTGGTTGCTTTTCCTGTTTTAAGAATTGTGCTAAGTTATAGGAAAATACTAAGAGAAGCGTGGGTAATGGTGAAAAGATGTTTGTTCTTGGTGATTGTGAAGTCACATGTGCAGACATGTGAGGTCCTCTGATCCACACTCATGTTTTGCCTTCGCACTTTGCAGGTCATTATTTTGGAAAAAAGCAATGAGTTCTATGAGTTGGGGAAGATGGCTTGCCCAGCAGGTGTGAGGCTGCAAGGCAGGCACTCCCAAGCGAAGATCCCAGGATTGAGGCCACAATAGGGAGGTCTCTGTGCCATTTTCATTTTAGGCACTCTGTGAAAGACTGTCAGTTTTGAATTGTTAAGTTACTGAACCCTCTAGTTTCAAATGTTGTTTTAAGCCCGTGGAAATTTGATTCCTTTTTATATAAATGAACGGAGCTGACCTGTACACTGTGCCATGAACCATTTCACTCTGGCAGTCAGGGGAAGGCTGGTGACCTCTGTTCTGTTTTCCCAGTGGGACAACCTTGGGCCAGTCCCCGCTGGGGCAGATCCAGTTGACAATCCGGCACAGTTCCCAAAGGAATAAGCTCATCGTGGTGGTGCATGCCTGCAGGTAAGCGCCCAGCTTCCCTGCTGCTCATGATTCTTGTCTTTCTATGTGATTCTGACTTGTCTTATTAGCAGTTGAAAAGGATACAAATAAGGAGTTGAGCCTATGAAAACCTGTTGGAAACAGGAAAATAAAGTTGGTGGCATGTAGAAGCATAATATAATTAGCCTTTAATTAGATATGTAATTTGGAGCATCTTGTATGTTCTTGCTGTTAAGATAATAACAGAGAAGAGGAACAGTGGAGGCCACATCATGTAGATAGGTCTGCTGGCACCTGTGGAGTTCCAGTTCACTTAGTCAGTGAGGAATGCTTGGCAGTACGTGGCTCACACCAGTGTTCCTTTCTAGTGCAGAGGAAGTGGACCCTGTGCCAGCCCGGTTTGTGTAGGTGGAGGAAATGGCCCAAGCAGGTTCAGTAGGGGACCCGTGTGTCAGCTCAGACTCATGCCAGGAAGGCCTGAGTGGCATCACGGGACTTCTGGGTGCTGGCTCACTTGACAGAGTCTGGTTCATGTGTTCCCATCAGGGTGAAACAGTAGGAGGCTAAGAGACAGTGTTAGCAGCAAAGAAGAGGGACGTAGAATCCCTCCAAACCTGGGCTCAGGAAGTAGACACCAAAGTCTCCTCTGACAAAGTTGCTGAAAGGGAATTTGGGAGAGATGCCAGCAGGCAAATGGGCTTCTCTGCCTCTCTCTCCTTGCTGCTGCTTGGTGTTTAAACATGAAATCAGCACTGAAGAAAATGTGATGGTATTCTCATTTTCTGAATTCTAATCAGTCTTTTCTGGTTTGTGTTATGAGAAATCTTATTGCCTTCTCTGAGGATGGCTCCGATCCCTATGTCCGCATGTATTTATTACCAGACAAGAGGAGATCGGGAAGGAGGAAAACACATGTGTCAAAGAAGACATTAAACCCTATATTTGATCAAAGGTATGGCAGATTCTTTAAGAAGAGGCTTGTGTAGCAGATAAGGACAGGCCTGAAAAATGTTTTTGAGTAACTAAGCATATGAGTCAGGCTCTGTTGAAAAATTAAACGGACAACCTTTACCACATTTTCAATATTGTGAACCTCAAGTAGATGGGCTAAATGTAACAGACCAAACTATAAACACTTCACAGGAAGACCAAGGATTAAATAAAATTCAAATTATTGGCTGGGTGCCGGTGGCTCACGCCTGTAATCCTAGCTACTAAGGAGGCTGAGATCTGAGGATCATGGTTCAAAGCCAGCCCAAGCCGGAAAGTCCATGAG